GTTACATACTGCATATGTTTTTGATTTCTTTCTAACTTCCAACAACTTTCTAGCCATATAGATAGTTGAAGGAAATTTCTTGAATCGTTGTGAATTAACATCTTTTAAAATAAGACTAATGAAACTAATTAATGAGTTAATTGCAACATCAGGAAGTTTAAACCTTTCCTGATATTTAAATATCTAAAGGAGAATCCACAAATCACCTATATCAATATTCGTGATAAAATTCTCATTATCTGAATCGTGATTAATATTATTGGAATCAGGCATTGTAAATAAATCATCTAGAATATCATCATCATCATTATCAAGCTAGTTTTGTAACTTCATCGGATTGGTAATGATCATTATCGATCATTAGAACTTCGTTATCACAAGAAAAACCATCTATTATAACATTACGGATATTTTGAGAAAATCATCAAAAATCGATTGAATTTCATCTGGACGATTTCTTGACTCAGAAACATGATTGGCTTCTTTTTCTTTGTTTTACTTCATTTTGTTAATTGAAGTTTGAAGCCGATTTTCCTCTGTTTCATGATTTTGTCTTGTTCTTGTTTCAACCAGTTTACTGTTATATTGTTTGCAATTACATGATACTTTTGGTCGAACTCTTGTAACTTTAGTAGTCACTTATGCTGCTAGCTTTTTGCTTGATCGTTCCCTTTTTACTTGTTTATACATCTTTTTAAAAACATAAATAAGAATCAGAAAAAAACTAATTAGCATACAATAAACAAACAAACGTGTATATGTATATACACATATACAACTTATCAGTATTTAAATTTAGCTTTATCCAAAGCTTAATTGAAAATTGGACAATTATTTTTTTATTAACAAAAAATCAAACCACAATATAAGTCAGAAAGTAAAATTTTAATCAAGTGATATTTCACCATCACACGCTATTCATCATTATCATTATACTATTTATTATTATTGTTTTAATTTGATCTACTGATATATAAAAAAAAATATAAATATATAGCCTCTTTATGAAAAGCAAAAAAAAAAACTCTATCTTCTCTATCTCTCTCAATATTTCTTAATGACTATTTTCTTTTTTTTTTATTTTATTTTATGCTATAAATGATTGAAGATTAAAATTTATTTAAAAAATAAAATATCCAAAATTTCGAATATTTGAACAGAAATACTTACAGCACCATTTGACATTATCCATTATTAATTATGACTCACCGCTCTGGCAAAAGTTCTCATTTAAAACATGACCAAAATAAGCATCGATCAAGAAGCTATAACCATAGAGGTAGGGATAGGTGTCGCTCGAGAAGTCACAGTTATAGGAGAGATGAACGTCAGTCAAAAAGCAGAAGAAATAAAGATAAATATCTTTCTATTAAAAAGCATACTAACCATAACCCGTAAGTTATATCAATGTTTATTTTTAGATTCATCCATATAGTATACTAAATGATTATCTACAAGATGGTATCAGCACAGGCTTTTATCGTCTGACTCCTCAGAATCAGATAGGAAATATAAAAAATCACCTAAAACTACTGACCAAAGAAAAAACAATGAAGAGAAAGTGGCAGAAAAAGGTATAATTTAATTGACATGCATATTTACATGAATCGATGTGTCACAATTGGGATATGCAGATTTGTTTACAACCTTTTCAGATCTCGTCAATTTACCTTTACGAGATGTTGAAATTCTTGATATATTCAAAGAGTTCGTAAAAACTAAAATGAAAGAACTGGAATCAGAAGATATTCCTCCTCTACGCTTATCCAAAATAACTCAGGAGAATAATGACTTATCAGATATAAATAGTGATCATGATAGTATACAAAGCCATTATTCACAGTCAACTTCTAAAGAAAGAACTAGTTCTTCACGGCTAATTTCTAAGAAAATAAATGAAAGATCTAAAGCTCTAGTTCTTTAAGATCTGATTCAAGATGTTCTAGTCCTGATCAGGATGAAGATATTAGAATGCCCCAGTATCTAAAATTGAAAGACCTATCTAACGATCTCTGAAAAGCCTTGAAGGTAAGTGAATTTTCATTACTTTCACTTTATTTATATACGTTGTCACGATGGTTTCGTGGCTTCAAATAAAATCTCAAAAGGGTAAATAAAACTAAGACAATTACTCAAGAAATCA